AAGTCCTCGGCCCTGGACACACAGGTGGTGGGGGAAGAGCCAGGGTTTAGGCCAAAGACTTCTGACTCGAGGGGAGCTGAGGACAGAGTACTCCTTGACGGAGCCGAGAGTACCCTCCAGAGATGGAGGGCGGCTTCCTGGAAGGCTCTGGCCATGTCTTGGGCCTTAAACCCAAAGTGAAGTTGAGATTCACTTTCATGTGCGCTGGGCAAAGTGGAGTGTGTATCTTCCCGTGCCCTGTGAGCTGTCTACACGAGCAGGCCTCCTGAGTAGTGCTGAGTGGTCAGGAAGGGGGCCAAAGGCCTCCCAACACCTGGAGAGCCCAGCTGGGAAGGGAGCTCAATGGGGAGTGAATGGAGGCCAGGGACCTGGCCCCCTTCCTGACATCCTTCTCGGGCCCCTCACTTGCCCCCCCACCCCACTCAGAGAACTGTCCCTGACACCCTCTCCCAGCCTAGAGCTTGTCTCACCAACCATCTGATGCAACCTAGGCCGACAGGTGCTGACTGCTTCCCCAGGCTTGTATCCACAGGAACCCTCGGGCCTCAAGGCAAAAGGCCCCAGTGACATGTGTGGAGTGCAGGGTCAGGGAGAGAGGGTGGCGCTGAACCAGAGAGGAGACCCACACGTCATGTCGATGAAGATGCCATCTGCTTACCTGCTCAGATCCTCTGGCCCTGTGACCCTGGGAGGCTGGAAGAGGGGAGGACACACCTTGGCCTTGGTTAACAAGCTTGAACCCTCTCACTGGATGTTTCCAGGTTCACACATCAATTGTGCTGCGTTTCCCCCTACCCCCCACCCCTGGACACAAACGTACCAACTGTTGCCTAAATGTGCTGTGTGCTAAGTTGCTTCGTGTCCAGCTCTTTTGCAGCCCCATGGACTGTAGCCAGTCAGGCTTCTCTGTCCATGGGATTTCCCAGGCAAGTATACTGGAGTGGGTTGCCATTCCCTTCTCCAGGGGTCCACCCCTGGACACAAACGTACCAACTGTTGCCTAAATGTGCTGTGTGCTAAGTTGCTTCGTGTCCAGCTCTTTTGCGGCCCCATGGACTGTAGCCAGTCAGGCTTCTCTGTCCATGGGATTTCCCAGGCAAGTATACTGGAGTGGGTTGCCATTCCCTTCTCCAGGGGATCTTCCCAACCCAGGGATGGAACCCACATCTCTAATGTCTCCTGCGTTGGCAGGCAGATTTTTTTTTTTCTGTTCTTTTTACCACTAGAGCCAGCTGAGAAGACCAAATACTTGAGCAAAATGGCATGTCTTGGTCCCTCCTTGAGACCCCATCATTTGCCACAGATGTTCTAGGGGACAGAGGGCAGACAGGACTTCCCATCTTTAACCTAGATTTTTAATCACTGTGAAGACCTGTATGTCAGGAAGTGAGACGAGAAAGTATCAGTCATTTTCTGCAAATTGTTTCACCATGGGCAGTTTCTATCCTACTCCGTGAGAAGTTTCCAGAAGGAGTCTGAGCTGGGCAGTAAAATTACTCGTCTCATCCTGTCCCCATAAAAAGTCCACTCTCTGACCCTGGCCATGTGGCTTGGAGCCCTGGGGTGAACTTGGTCAGAGCAGCCTCCAGGCCACCTCTGCCCTGCCCACTGTTTCCAGAATAGGGTTGAAAGAAAATCACTTCATCTGGAGATATCTTTGTCCAGACACAGATTTTTTTTTTAATTGCTTTCAAATAAATACCGCCCCCCAACCCCTAACCAAGTCCTGCTGCCCAGCCGCACACACTGATTAGGGAGGAAATGCCCAGGTAAGTTTCAAAGGTGTAGGAGCAGTCTTTGCTGGAAGGGGTCCTAAGAGGCAGGTCCCAGTTCCTGAAAGAACTTGACGCCAGGAAGTAGGCTGTCCTCCCTGGGAGCCCAGCCTCCACCCCCAGATTTGGATCTCACTGTGCTTCAGACTGAAATCCAGAAAGCAGTGTTTCAGAAGTGGCTGGTGCAGCTCCAAATAGGTCATCCTCAGCAAACATTCCACTCTGGGTTTTCCACAAACCACATGGCAGAGGGTGCAAATTTCCCTGCCCTCATTTCACCTACTCCCCTCTAATCATGGGGCTTCCCGGGTGGTGCTAGTGATAAAGAACTTGCCTACCAATGCAGAAGACATAAGAGATGCAGGTTTGATCCCTGGGTTGGGAAGATCCCCTGGAGAAGGGCATAGCAACCTACTCCAGTGTTTTTTGCCTGGAGAGTCCCATGGACAGAGGAGCCTGGTGAGCTACAGTCCATGGAGTTGCCAAGAGTTGGACATGACTGAAGTGACTTGTCAGGCACCCTGACTGCACAAACAGATTTGAAACGCTGGCAGAAGTGGACGCTTTCCAGCTTTCGACACGATGCCGGTCTGTGCCGTGAGGTTTCTGTAGGTTGCCTCATTTTCTGCCTTTGGAGTTTGGAGATTTTCGTTTGTTTGTTTTTTGGTTTTTCTCCTGAGCTGAACTAATTGAGACATCTCAGTGAAGGCAACCAGCCACCTGCCTGCCAGACCTCACTGGTAGTGGGGACGTGCGTTTCACACTAAAGGACAGCTTCCTGGAGGGAAGTCTGATCTCTCTGTCCCAGGCCCCCAAGAGTAAGAAACAGTATCCCTTCCACCCACACAGGGATATACAGCGTCCTTCTCCGGAAAGATCAGTGCTGCCAGATTAGATTGCAAAGGAATCAGGTTCACAATCAAGAACAAATTGTTACCCAAGGACATCATTCTGTGTGAGCATCTAATAAGATGGAGTGGTGAGGAATGGTCAGAACTGTTATCAACCCCATCGCTCTGCTTATTTCAGCCCTGACAGCAGGGAACTTTGTATGGGTTGTGCAATAACTGTGATTAAAACACACACAAGATATGCACTTGGAGGATGGGACAAGGGCCTGTTCACTTCCACAGGCACCCAATGATCAGGTCAACCATCTGGGGGAGATCTTGTTTATGCCCTCACAAGTTTCTGGCCCTGACAAATATTCATTTTAATTGATGAATACCAGGAGAGAGGAGAAACTCAAAACTTGTATTTGCCCATTAGGGTGATTTTTTCTTTTTTTCAGTCCAGCACATTGCAGACCCCTGGTTCCCTCATGTGGCTCTCAGTCTTTCTCTGATATCATTTTTCCACATGCCAGACAGAACTGGCAGAAGAAAAAGAAGAAACCCCACATTACCCCCAGCAAGCTGGGTGGCGGTCCAGGCTGAAAACCACACAGCATTCTTCTGCCGCTGCTCTCAGAGCCCAGTCCACTTTTCAGAACCCATCCTGGAAAGGATGCTGTGAAGAGAGAAAGAGAGGCTAGAAAGATCAAGTAACTAACAGGAGACGACTTCTCATGAAAGTGCAGAAATTTTTGTTTTCCCTTCACATTCTAACACTCTAGCCCAAACGTTGTGGATGTTCATCACAAATGAAATTTAGGGACCTCATTGTTCCTTTAACAAACCTCCTCATTGACTGTTTCACATCTTCCCAGACACCTACCAGCCTTTTTTTTCATTTGTTCCAAGAAGTGCAGGGAAAGCTATTTGTCACTCTGCTTGTGTACGTGTGGGCTTCCCTGGTGGCACAGTGCTAAAGAATCCACCTGCTGATGCAGGAGACACGAGAGACACACATTCAATCCCTGGGTTGGGAAGATCTCCTGGAGAAGGAGATGGCAACACACTCCAGTATCCTTGCCTGGAGAATTCCATGAACAGAGGAGGGCTATAGTCCATGGGGCTGCAAAGAGCTGGACACAGCTGAGCACGCACGTTTGTGTGCTATTGGGCTTCCTAGGTGGCTCAGGTGGTAAAGAATCCACCTGCAGTGTGGAAGACCCAGGTTCAATTGCTGGGTTGGGAAGATCCTCTGGAGAAGGGAATGGCAACCCACTCCAGTATTCTTGCCTGGAAAATCCCATGGACAGAGGGCTACAGTCCATGGGTTTGCAGAGTCAGACACGACTGAGCGGCTAGCACTTGTGGACTGCTACTGTGTTTTCCTACAGCTACTGCAACTAAGTTATCATCGGCAGGCCAGCTTCGATCCAAATTCTCCATGGTGTGGGCCTGATGGCCGAACAGATGCTGAGGAGACAAGTGTCTCTTTCTCTCTCTCTTACTTGTTGGCTGACCCTCCCTGTCACCCACTTCCTCCATCTTGCCCTTTGGAAGCACGTTCTTGTTCCCCCTGAGGTCTCCCTGCCCCCACAGCATCCTCATCTCCTTGTCATGACTGATTTGGGGGGCTCACCTCTGTCATCAGGCAGACTGGGAGGACAACCCCAGATGCCAAGACATCATCATTCTTTTTGTAAAAAAATTTTTTTATTATTAATTGGAGGATAATTGCTTTACAATATTGTGTTGGTTTCCGTCATACATCAACATGAATCACTGTAGGTGTACATATGTCCCCTCACTCTTGAACCTCCCTCCCATTTCCTTTCCCATCCCACCTCTCTAGGTGGACACAGAGCACCGAGTTTGAGCTCCCTGCGTCCTACAGCACATTTCCCCGGCTCTCTATTTTACATACGGTAGTGTGTGTGTTTGAATGCTCCTCTCTCAGTGCATCCCTCCCTCTCCTTTCCCCACCGTGTCCACAAAGCTGTTCTCTCTTCTGCATCTCCCCTGCTGCCCTACAGGTTGGTTCAGCTTTCTACTCTCCCCGTGTATGCACTAATATGTCCTCCATTGAACCTTGGGGCTCTCTTGGTTTTGGAATCCTGAAAATTTGAACCCAAGGAAAAATTCTTTCAGGATCTCTGAAATCAGAGACTTCAGTGCTGAACGATCTGTGAGCAAAGAAGGGACTTGCTAACCCCTTGATCCTTTCAACATCCTGCATCTCCCCAAGCATGAGGCCCATGACCAGTACTTGGCTGTTTCCCACAGAGCGGGGATGCCTGTGTATGCTGGCTTGCAGCTGCTTCTCACCCAGGCGTCCTTCTGACCAGTGTTAATGCCTCAGAGGGCAGTGAGCCAGCCTGAGCACCCTAGGACCAGAACCATGTCCGTGGGCCAGCCTCCCACAGCCCACAGGCCACCAGCAGCAGCAGGCTGGGCTGCAGAAGGGAAGCCAACCAGGATTCTCAAGGTCTGCGCATCGGTTGCTGGTTGGGATCTGAAGGTCTCTTCCCAGACTGGACTTGAAGCTGTGGTGCAGTGTGAGGTGGAAGATCATCTCGAGAGAGAGTCATAAACACGTGTGGGCAAGCCTCCTGCTCAGAGCTGGAGACAGAACCAGCCCCACCCAACCCCCGCCACTGCCCCAGTTCCACTAGCTCTTCAGCTTTGGGTTTTTGATGAAGATCACCTCTTTTTTTTCTGATACTATAAGAGTTATTTATTCACTATACACAGAACACGTTGTTGTTTAGTTGCTCAGTTGTGTCTGACTCTTTGTGACCCCATGGACTGTAGCTCCCCAGGCTCCTCTGTCCGTGGGATTCTCCAGGCAGGAATACTGGAGTGGGTTGCCATTTCCCCCTCCAGGGGATCTTCCCAACCCAGGAATCAAACCCACATCTCCTGCCTGGCAGATGGATTTTTTTACACAAAGCCAGCAAGGAAGCCCCATACACAGAACATGTCCCCTGTAAAATGTACAGAAAATCACTAAAAAATATAATTTGGTGAACATGTTCTCAATTATAGAACGTACTGATACTAAATCAGTTGGGAATAATTGTTTCCCTCAAAATAATCTAGTTATAGCATCCAGAGTCTCCTTTACATCTGATGCAAAGTTCAGAGGGCCTTCCCTCCTAGCTCAGTTGGTAAATAATCTGTCTGCAGTGCAGGAGACCTGGGTTCAATTCCTGGATGGGGAAGATCCCCTGGAGAAGGAAATGGCAACCCACTCCAGTATTCTTGCCTGAAGAATCCCACGGACAGAGGAGTATGGCAGGTTACAATCCATGGGGTCAAAAGAATTGGACATGACTTTGCAACTAAACCCCCAAACCACCACCACCAAAGTTCAGTACTGATTTTGGGGACTATTTCCTAATGTGTTGTATGAGGAGGCAGAGTTCACAATTAAATATGACTCTAGTATATTATGCAGGAGACCTGGGTTCGATCCCTGGGTCAGGAAGATCCTCTGGCGAAGGGAATGGCAATCCATTCCAGTATTCTTGCCTGGAAAATTCCATGGACAGAGCAGCCTGGTGGGCTACAGTCCGTGGGATCACAAAGAGTCAGACACAACTGAGCAACTAACACTACTACTACTACTAGTATATTACAGTCCCTGCACACAATAAATCAGTTTGTTACAGATGAAAACAAATCATTCTTTGATTATTTGTGTTAATGGGATGCAAAGAAATACTGGATAATTTTAAAAGGCAAATAACCACAAAATGACTTATCTTTGACAGTGTACTGGGTTTTATTATTACACAGGATATAAATGGGATACAATATTTTTGTGAATAATACATCTCAAACAAAACAATGAAAATGAGGCCACCCTGTAATGATTCACAGGATTGTACTCAGACCGCTTTTGAGTAACTCCAGGATGCGGAGCAGGAATTCATCACTTTCATATCTGTCATCAGTTAGTGCTGTGTGTCTGTTGGTGGCAGGGAAAGGAGTCTGGAAAGGGTCAGAAATCTGGTAAGACAGGACTTTGCCTTCCTTGAGTGGTTAATCCTTCTGAGAGGCTCTCGAAGCCAATTTTAATTAGATCTATTTTTTCCTATGACTGAAGTTGAAACAACTAATTAAGTCCTTAATTAATGTTTTTCAACCACCTTGGGAAGTACCAGAGAAGTTACTCTAAGTGTTCCCTATTACTCAGAGCTCCCTGGGCACAGCCTGCTCTTGTTGACTCTAGGATATGCGAGAAAGCTCATGCTGGGAGTACAAGGCATTTCAGAGGCAACAGGCAAAATGTTGACAGTGTCTTCTTCCCCCTGGCTTCCCCCAAGGTTTTCTCCTTGCCCTCTGTTATAACTTGCAGTCTTCATTTTTCACTTTGCTCAAGACTTCATCTGCTTAAGGCTTCTGGGGGTGGAAGCTTGTTTAGAAAGGGAGTTTGTTCAGTTTCAAGCCCCTCTGTAAAATATCCAACTTATCAAGTGCAGACTCTGAGCAATCATGAGATGTCCCTCCTGGGGTGCATTTTCTTCTTTAAAGCCTTCAAAGTGATAAAAGGACTGATAAAAACCACCTTGGGAGGCAGTCAGGCCAACGGCAAGGTCTGCAAAACATCCACAATTCCACGATCCGAGGCTTGAGTTATCGGGGGCTGGTGTTCACTACCCCATCCTCCTCACAGTAAATCACCCGGGAGGTGCTTACTGACGTGAATTTAGCAATCGAAAAGATCACTCAAACTAGTTCGTGGTTTGTGTGTGTGTGTGCTTCTGTCTGACTCTGCAGCCCCATGAACTGCAGCCTTCCAGGCTCCTCTGTCCATGGAATTTTCCAGGCAAGAATACTGGAGTGGGTTGCCATTTCCTACTCCAGGGGATCTTCCCAACCCAGGGATCAAACCATGTCTCCTGGCCCAGGCAGGCGGATTCCTTATCACTGCACCACTGGGAAGACCAGGTCATGGTATAGAGACAGATTCAAGAGATTTTCTCTTAAATTCTTGGGATGTCCTCGGATGTTCGTTTGGAAGGTCTTGCTATTCTGAAAGAGTAGAGAGGATTTTATTAGGTTCTTATCAGGCAGGCAATGTCTCTAGATTCAGGCAGAGAGGATCTTTCACATCTGGGAAGTTTTTAAATGTCTTTTTTTAAATGACGCAGATGTTCACATCTGCAGACCCTTCCCTTGTGTGGGTTTGTTTTCCTTTCCCCTGGTGACTTCCTTGGCCTACCCGACAAATTAATCTGCAATGATCTAAGCCAGAGACCGACAGATGTAAATTCTCTCAGGCCCACTCTGTTTTGTTTTCCTCACTTTATATTCATGTTTGGAAACATTTATTAGTATTTATGTGAAGGCATTCAGAGACTATGTTTGGTAAAATGAGTGTGTTCCTGTTGGTGGGTAGCCGACCACTATAGACAGACGACCTAGTATAGATGGATTCACTTAGAAACCTTTAAACATGGAAAACAAAAAATTACTGGAAAGCCAAAGAGAGTCTTACAGGTTTCATTTTAGAAAACAGTTTTCTGATGCTTTTTATGTTCAAATTGGAAAACATAACTATATGTTAACTTACAAGCTCAGAAATATGCAGGATATAATCAACTACATTTCAAAAAGAAAGAGGTAATGTAGATTATCTAGAATAGTAATCCTCAACGCTGGCTGCATGTTAGTAAATTGGGAGAGGTTTTCTTGTTTTTTTAAAGAAACATTTTAGGGACTTTTCCTGTCCATGATTAAGATTTGACCTTCCAATGCAGGGCTGCAGGTTTGATCCCTGCTTGGGGAACTAAGATCCTGCGTGCCTCTTGACAAAAAAAAAAAAAAAGTCAAAACATAAAACAGAAGCAATATTGTAACAAATTTAATAAAGACTTTAAGAAAATAAAGAAAAAAAATTATTTTTGTACTGACTTTTTAAGACCCAACTTTATTTTATTTTTAAAAAATTTTTGGCCGCATGGCATGTGGGATCTTAGTTCCTGATCAAATCCACGACCCCTGCATTGAAAGTGTAGGATCCTAACCACTGGGCCACCAGGGAAGTCTCTGGGGAGACTTTATAAAATGTTGCTGCCCTGGCTTCACCCCGAGTTTCTGAAGTAGCTGATCTGGGCTGGGGGCAATCACATATCTGGTTCTGGGGAATCTGGAGAGAATTCCGTGTACCTGATAGGTTGACATTTCTCCTATTTAACTTTTTTCCACCCAGCAAACTCCACTGAAAATAGCAAGATGTTTTCTCTGGAAGGTAAAGCCGTTTTTCACAGTCACCCTGAAGACAGGTGTACCGCTCCTAGGGAAACGGCTATTGATGCCAAGTGGTACTTCCCCCAGGTCTCTGGGGGCCTGGTCTCAGCATCATGGTGGGCAGGAGCCCAGAACAGCCCCCTCTCCGCCCTGTTAGAGCCAGGACTTGGAGTCCTAAGACCTGGGTGGAGGCCCTGCTGCACCATTTCAGCTCTGAGTGAGCTCAGTTATTATACACACGCCTCCTAGACCTCGGGTTCCTCATTTATAGGATAAGGAAAGCCAGCCTTCCCCACCTGTGAGAACACATAAGACACAGTGAATGGGTTTTGTCACCTGGGCAGTGAATTCTCTTGTGGATTCTGTGTAACTGGGGGGGCCACTGTGAATCCCGAGCTATCTCCTGAGTCAAGTCCTGCATCAGCCTGGGCTCTGAGGCGGTTCAGGGCACAATCTCCTGAATCCCAGGTAGGCCAATCCAGGGTCAAGACCCACTGGTTCCCCTATAGCAGTAGCAGTGTTAGTTACTTAGTCATGTCCAGCTGTTTGTGACTCTATGGACTATCGCTCACGCTCAACCAGGCGCCTCTGTCCATGGGATTCTCCAGGGAGGAGTACTGGAGTGGGTAGCTCTTCCCTTCTCCAGGGGATCTTCTCAACCCAGGGATCGAACCTGGGTGTCCTGCATTGCAGGCAGATTCTTTACCATCTGAACCACCATACTTCCCCTGAGGGCATCAGTATCAGACCGTCTGATGATGCAGCTCACCCTTAAGACACAGGCTGATGTGCACGTCCAGACCCCCTACATCGTGGGGCCATCTGCTCATCTGGCAGAGGATTTTTTCCCAGTGCAATAACCTCCGTGGCTACAAGACTTGTGGCAGTGGGACTTGTGTGTTGTTGTTTAGTCACTGCATCGTGTCCGACTCTGCGATCCCATGGATGGTAGCCCCTGCCAGGCTCCTCTGTCCGTGGGATTCTCCAGGCAAGAGTACTGGAGTGGGTTGCCATTTCCTCCTCCAGGGGATCTTCCTGACCCAGGGATGGAACCCACATCTCCTGCATTGGCAGGTGGATTCGTTACCACTGAGCCACCCAGGAAGCCCTGGTTGTGCGTCGCTGACTTGAATTCCAGCTCTGTCTGGCTTGTGCCCATTGCTTCCCGGTCTGAGCCTCAGGCTCCCACACAGTGGCGGTGAAAGTAACACTTGACATCCCCAAGTAGCTGTGAGAATGAAACAGCTGAGGGACCCGAGGCCACTCGGTGGTGCCAGCGGGCTGGCCCCGCACCAGCGCGGGCTGACCTGTGTCTCCTCCCCCCAGCAGTGCCCAGCCCCCCTTGTAACGGCTTCGATGGCGCCCTTTCAAGGCCCTGCCGAGTCCCCTTGGGGAAGGAGGTCTGCTTCATCGCCACCGTTCGCCTGGCCACACCACAGTTCCTAAAGGCAAGTACCCAGAGAGAACTTATCTTGCAGAACAAGTACCCCCGAGTCACCTTGTGTGGCAGCTAATTCCTTGTCTTCCTGGGAAAGAAGATGATTTCCATGAGCTCATCACCGACTCTGAAAATGTTCAGTATCTGATTTCTGTACAGCAACAGCCCCACAGACTCTTTCCCCAAGCTTCAGTTTCCTAAAAATACCAGGGTGGGCAGCCATTCCCTTCTCCAGGGGATCTTCCTGACCCAGAGATCAAACCCGGGGTCTCCAGCATTCCAGGCACAGTCTTTCCCCGGAAAGCCCCTCTTGCAGACTCCATGGACTGTAGCCCGCCAGGCTCCTTTGTCCATGGGATTCTCCAGGCAAGAATACTGAAGTGGGTAGCCATGCCCTCCTCGAGGGGATTTTGTTTGAAGGCAGTGAATCACTGGGGCAGAGATGGGTCTTCCAGAACTCTATAAACTTTCCTACTCTTCACATCTATGTTGACACCAATCAGCACAGCAGAGGTAAAACCTATCAGACAGAGCTCTGGACTCCTGTCTGTAATTTCTTTCCCTTGGATGGGGTGAATGTTAAGTTACTCATTCAAATTCAGATGAAAAGCCATTTTTCATGTGTTTACCACATGTCTAGATGATAGGAAGGGAGGGGTATGACATTTTGGCTCTCAGAACTTTTTCCCCAGCTCGTGAAATAAATTTAGCAGCCGCTAATACTGAAATTAGCTGCTGATGAGGAGTTTTGGTCCAACACAACTTGGAAACTTGCTCTAAGTGCTTTTAACTTCTGTTGCCGACTGTGCGTTCTTGACACAACCGGGGGGTCGGGGGGTGAGAATCTGGCACCCCGAGTCATATTTTCCCTCCCTTTCAATACAGGAAATGTGCATCGTTGACGAACCTTTAGAGGAATTCACTTCAAGGCATAGCTTGGAATGGAAATTTTTATTTCTGGATCACAGGTTTGTGAAAAGAAAAACACATTTGGGTTGGGTGCTTTTTCAAGCGCTTGTTTCCAGGAGCCAGGCTCTCCCCGCGGGACAGAATTCAGACCTGGTTCTCTCTTGTGGTGGGGAAAGTGCTTGCTGGCCAGAGGGCTGGGGTCTCCCTCCAATGCACTTGTCCCATCTGGGGATATGTCCTGGGTTTGGGTCGGAGCATCTCAGGAGAGCTACACACCCCCCCGTTGGAGACATCTCTGGGACACCCCCACCTGCTCCACCCCCACCCCACTTGGGACCGTCGCCAGCTCCCATTAGGGAAGGCAAGATGTGAAGGAAGCTCTCATTTTATTTCCTTCAACACCCTTCGTCCCTTTAGACCAATCTTCTTTCTTTCTTGTGTTACATTTTTTCACAGTTGAAGAACTAACAATCTCCCCTTCCTGCCCTTTGATTTTTTTTTATGACACTTTAGAATTGGGCTGACTCCATGCATAGCTGTTTTTAATTATTCAGCAGCAATAACATTTATGATCACTGGGGCCAGTTTAGGTCGCAGGAACCAAGTGTCTAATGCCGAAAAATGTGAGCACTTTGGAAAACACCGCCTCTCTGGTTTTGACCATTGCCAAATGCTTTTTTTCTGCACTTACTCTTGAGAAATGAGGCCCCTGGGTTGATCATGAAACATGTAAACTGCCCCCGCCTGTTGGCCACTACAGGAAGCCCGCAGGGCTGGTGAAGACCCCCCCCAACTGTCCTTGCAGAGCCCCTCCTATCATAGGATACCTGCCTTTTGAAGTCCTGGGAACCTCGGGCTATGACTACTACCACGTGGACGACCTGGAGCTCCTAGCCAGGTGCCACCAGCACCGTGAGTACCCCTGCCAACCACCCAGCTCCCCTCCCAAGGACCTCCATCCTCTCCCTGCAGCCCTGCCAGTGGGACCCGTAGGCTCTGCAAGTCGACTTATTACTCGGTTTCTTCTGAGGCCAAGAATTTGAACTTCTCTGAGATGATGAAGTTGTGGTCCTTGTTGGAGGTCCTTGTCTGAATTCCCCTGGAATTGACTTTGATCCGTGTGCTTCCTCCCCCAGCCCCTTCCCAGCTCCCCTCAGCTATGCAAACTCTTTGATCTTTTTTTTGCTTTTTAAGTAGTCTGATAACTATTACTTTATTTATTTATTTATTTTGCAGCTTTCTCGAGTTGTGGCAAGTGGGGGCCACTCTCTAGTTGTGGCGCTCAGACTTCTCATTTCGGTGGCTTCTCTTGTTGCAGAGCACGGGCTCTTGGGCACATGGACTTTGGTAGTTGCAGCACAGGCTTCAGTAGTTGCGGCTCGTGGAGCTTAATTGCCCCATGGCATGTGGAATCTTCCCAGACCAGGGATCAAACCTGTGTCCCCTGCATTGGCAGGTAGATTCTTAACCACTGGACCACCAGGGAAGCCCCACAAATACTATTTTATTGGCAGATTCAGTGCCTCCTTTTGTTGCTTTGGTCTCCTGGTTAGGCTTTCTCTTGACCACTAGCATGTAAAGAGCTGAATTCCAGGCGCTGAGACAGTGCACCCCAGCTGCTCCTCTTCCCTGGACCCGTAGCCCAGCTTTCTGCCCTGCCCAGGCCTAACCCAGCAGCATCTGTGTGTACCGGGTACCTCCAGGGAAGCCACAACTTAACCATAGGAGCCCTGTGTGGTGGTCTGAGGTGGAAGCCCCTGTGACTGATCCTCTGTTTAGAGCTGTGTAGACCAAGGATGCTCGGCTGACTGGCAGCCAGAGCATCCGTCCGTAGGCTGCTGGCTGTCAGTTCTGTTTTTGGTCCAGTTCTCCCAGCGTCTGGATGGTCTCTCCCACAACTGCAAAGACAGTTCCAACTGCAGCAGGATGGTGAGCCCCAGGAAAACCAGGGCTTTTTTTTTTTTTAATGCACACTTCTCCAACAGATTTATTTCTTTAAAGGAATGGATTTTGAAGAGAAAAAACATGGGGCAGAGAGGTATGGAATAGAAAATAAATACAAATGTAAGATGTTTTGCTAATTGCTTAACAACCACAAACTAGTATAGAGAATGCCCTGTACAAAACACAATAAATGTTCAAAGATGGAGGTGTTCCCCAAGACAAGGCTGAAGACCGCAGTCCCTGGTATTTGGAATTTAGGCTGCAGTCCTTGTTTTTGGATGGATCACTGGCTGTGTGGTACAGTCCATGCTTTTAACCAGATTTGAACAGGAGAATGGCCACTTGGCCCAGGTAGGAGTAGATGAAGTGTTTGGTTTCATGTGTCACATCACTACCAAAGTTCCTCCCCATGGTGCAGGGCCAGGTGGGGTTGTACTTCCTGTCAAAATCCTTCTTGACATGGGCCACAATGTCCTCCATATTTCTCCAATGCCTGAGTAGCACACTCCACCGAGTCCTGTTGCATCTCCTCCGACATACCGGCATTTTCGATCATGGCCTTTCGGTCACACGTGGTCACCAAGGAGTGGGGCTGGCCGACTAAGACGTTCCCCAGGGGAGGGGCTGGCAACGCTCACGCCCACATAGGGAGGGAGTCGCTACCAAAGCCCTGGCACATCGAAAACCATGGCTTCTTTTTAATTAAACTCCCAGTTGAAGAATCTGCCCAGATTTAAGGCTCTCTTAAGCTTTTGAGCATTTGGGGAAGCAGGAGGATCATCCCTCATTGTTTCAGAATTCATGACCATTTCCTGTGATCTTTTTTTAAATTTCTTTCTCAACTGGAGGGAGATTGCTTTGCAATGTTGTGTTGATTTCTGCTGTTCTGCAACTCGAATCAGCCATAATTATGTACATGTCCCCTCCCTCTCGAGCCTCCCTCCC